TCTAACAGGGAATGAACACACAAGTCTGAGATGTGTGTGTTTGAGATCAGTGGTGTCCCCTACATTCCTGTGCTTCTGACTCACTTAATGACTCTAGCAGGAAAAACACGCACCATTTACCTTTTTACTGTGATCCTATCAACAGTCCCACCTGTCCCCTTTTTGAACATGTGTGTGGCCGTGATTCACTTACAAGAGGAGACAGGCGAACATATACAGACACAAATACCAGGAAGGGCATCCAGTACAAACACACGAGTAAAAGAGGGTTTAAATTAGCCTGCTGTTGACTTTAGATGGGATTAATAAGAAGGAGTGGACAAGTTGACTTACAGATTAGGGATAATGTGTTTGTTACCATGTAGGTAATTCTCAGATTTGTGATTTAGAAAAAATATTAATAGCAGTTGGCAGCTGTGAAAGGTCGTTGGTTCGATTCCAGTTGGAGACACAAAACTCTGCAGAATTGTTTCAGGAAGGGCATCCAGTGGAAAACTCTGCAAAGTCAAAACATGTAGAGCTTCGCCCCTGGTGAAAAAGGGTGCATATACTTAAAAGCATGATTTTAAGCCAATAAATGTCTTTCAATCAGTCGGTTAACATGCATTCATTTGGGAAGGCTTACACACAGAGAAAAGCACGGCCTCAGTCAGAAAAACCCAGTGGCATTAAAGGCAGCAGAGTGAGAGACTGAGTGAACAGGGATGAAAGACAAGACAAGCCTGGTGCAGCAGGAGTGAGATGAATGCTTAGAGTGAGATGCAGAGGCAGACATATGTCATGCTTGCATTAGCTGGGGATTAACATGGCTTTTTATTAGGATAATTTAAAGCCTTAGGGAAAAGAAAATAGAACAAGCCAGCTAGGATACCTGCATCACGTCCATGTTCTCCTAGTGTCTTGGAAATTTCCACCATAGCTGTCTTCCTCTTTGTCTATATCGACTTTAGGTTTGAGAAAAAAAGAAATGGTGGTCTTATAACTGAAATAGGTAAAAAAAGACAGTTATACCATCCTAGTATAGACTGACTTAATGGGACTCAGTGAAATGTATCAACATTTATACACATTTAACGTTGTATAACTTTGATGATTTTCAACTTGTCCTTATTAAACGATGATTTCTAATTATAAGCTAGATCAGGGGTCGGCAACCCTAGAAGGGTTAACTGATGGCACGACCATAGCTGGACTGGCCATTGGGCATACCGGGCATTTGCTCGGTGACTTTTTTTCTTCTTTGTAACGGTATAAACAATGAAAGGTGGTGGATTGGCCAGATGCTGGCCGGTGTGTAAAAATAACTCGGTTGTTTGGTGGTGGCTATGGCGGAGCTTCCTCAGATTCAGTAACATTAGCAAGTGGTGGAGGCCAGCAGGTGGATGAGGGAAAGGGGAGGCAGGAGGAGGAGAGACCCGAGGCGGCCGCCAGTCCGAGTGTCAGGTGAACTGAACTTCAGGTAAGAAGTTATGACCTGCAGTCTATCTGGGTCAGATATAAACCAAGTTTAGGTGGAGTTATTTTCATTGTGCTGACTTTTTACCGTCAGTTACAATAACTTGTACTGCGTGCTAGCATGAGGAGTTTCTATACAGCTGGGTGGGTGCTATGTTGTTACTGATAGTGAACTTTATTTTATTCATAAGGTTAGTTAGTAGAGTTGCCAACCGTCCCGTAAAAAGACTGAATCATCCCGCATTAAGAGAAAATATTACTCGTTTCGTGTTGAGGTGAAAAGGAACAGTTTGTCCCGGACTTCAGCTAGAATGGAAAAAGACACAAAGCTGGATTGATCCTGTCTCTTTACGCTGCACAGCTACTTCTTCTTCTCTCATTCTCTCTCTCCCCTCTCCTGTTGCTACTTCAATCATGAAACGGATCAATGATCAGCTGATTGGCTTTTCTCTCTTGTTTGTTTATCGCCAACTTTGCGCCAGAAAGAGGAAACTGCCGGATGCTAAACAACAGCAGCACGTTTAAGCTTGATCAGCTGTTGTTAGAATTTATTTAATATTCATTTCTAGTATCAGCTGATGTTTGCTGGAGCCACAGCTGTAAAAGCTGCTGGTCATGATGTTGGTTTGGTTATGTGGTGAGAGGGAAACATGAGGATGAAACCAGGAGATGTCCTTACTGAATCATCAGAGCTGAACAGGTGATGGAGAAACAGGTTTACCTTTTAGGTGACATGAAGGGAGTTGAAGGGAAGTAATGAACTGTTTTGCCAGGGGGGCAGGTAGGGCATTAACAGGGAAAGGGGGGCACAAAGAAATACTTTCTTATTCTCATTTAAAATGTCTTGCTTTTATTAAATACTTATCTTACTTATCTTACTTATCTTACAACCAAAGTTTTTATCTGACGTAAAATGTATAGAAATCATACATATAACATCGAAGCAGCTGGAATCCACAGCTGTGCGTGTTCATGGAGCTTGCATTTTCACCTGCTGGACATCACTACCCGACAAGTTTAACTGTCTTCAGAACATTGCAGAGGCCTTATTGACAGTATTTGGCTCTACATATCTGTGTGAGCAGATTTTCTCTCACATGAGTGTCCTCAGGTAGCCGTCTGAATGCTGGACACTTGGAGACCTGAGTCTCTGAGTGGGAGACTAGAGATCAGAGTGTATTAACAAACATGCCATATTGGCCCAGTTTATTTTTCTTATCATTGTTGTGAGGAGACCATAAATAGCATTTGTATTTTCTGTTGTATAGTCCATTTGCTGTTATGGAGTTCTTGTTATGGATAAAAAGTCTTTTTTTGTTTCAAAACAGCTGATAACTATTCGCTGATAGCTGCCAACATCTGCGAACAAATATAATTCTATAAAGTTGTTCTATATAGTGTGTAACTGTTAATATAGAGCGTTATTAAATTTATTGCTAATGCAATCATATGGCACACTGACTTCTGAGGAAATTTTAAATGGCACTCAGGTTGCCGACCCCCTGGGCTAGATAAAGAAAAACCCAAAACTTTACAGCATGTAAGCTGTTAAGCAAACGTAGGTCCTGCTGTTTCTGTATAATTGATAGATGGTCATAATAATACTATTAAATCAGTGATTTAAGCTATAATCTTATCCCTGATTTCAACAAACATGAAATGCATAAACACACAATAGGACTAAACTGCTTACTAGGTAAAAATCCACAGAGGCATATTACAACAGATTGTGTGACTCATCTTACTAAAGAAAAACTTTAAACCACACCTTCTACCTTGTTGCTGTAGGCCTTAAAAAGTCGCACATATTACTTTCAACAAGTACGTTTGTTTGAAACAAATTAATCAAAGTTTCACCATCAAGCCCACACAGTGTCACTGAGTGCATTCAGTGCAGTAAAGACCCTGAAGGCCACGGCACCTTAATGTATCTTGCAAAGATGAAGGAATGTTTTTCTTCACACTGTAACACATTGTGTTTGTGCACGTGGGCCACCTTGTTCTTATTCATTTACACCGTTGCATCCTAGCATTTTCAATGCAGCATTATAAATACTGTAGTCACAATATTGCATATATACAATAAAAAGTTAATGTTTTGTAAGAAAAATACGCTTTTTTTTTTTTTTTGCAAAAGAAAATGGTTAGGTTTGATCAATAACATAATTTTTGGGGCACAAGTAGTATTTTCAAATGACATTTGCAAAGGTATCTAAAGACATCCCAAAAAGTTGGTTCTGTTCATCTGGAGGTAGCGTTTTTAGTTGGAGAAAACGTGTCACCACTCATCCAAGTGACTTCTGTCTTAGCAGCCTGCAGGTTTCTCCACCCTTATAAACAGTACATTTGCTCAATGACTGAAACAAGCACCACTAGTGAACACTGAGCTGTGAGGTCAGTTCCTTGATCTGAACACAGTTTAGATCAACACAGTTAATAATGTTAGAAACATGGCAGCAGCTTCACACAGTCATCAACCACATGTACAAGAAATTCAATAATATATATGAAAAAAACCCGAACAATAATCATGAAATGCATATCCATTCATTCTGACTTTGACCTCAGAGGCTAGTATACTATAGTTTATTTTGCATCTGCAGAGATTTATGGATTCTAATATGAATACAAACATTAATTAAGAACTTGTCTGATTCATTGGAACCAGAAATGGTAAAATACAGCAGAAAACCCTTTTCAGTCCAAACCTTGTTCACCTAATCACACACTTACCCACAAATAGTTTGACACGCAGTCTGTAGTAGCCAAGCTTTGAACCGCTAACCTTTACCTCTTCAGTCATTTCCACCCCACAACTTAAAAGTGACAGTTAACAGTAAAAACCAAGAAAATGTTGCTTAAGTCAGCACACAATTCACAGTAAAAGAATACAGATTAGATCGAATTTACTTTTGTCAAACACCAGCAACAACCTTTTCATCTCTTGAAGATGCTCCTGAAGAGGTTTGTGACTCTTGGACTGAGACTATTTGCTGTGTAACGGCACAAAACTACCCAGTCCTGAAAGTCAAGCTGTCACCTCAGTTAGACAGAGAGAGAGAAGGGGGAAAGTCTAGACTAGGTATATAAAATGAGTGAAAGAAAAGAGGGAAGCTAGAGTTGAGGGGTCAGAGGTCACCTACAGGCAGTGGAAACAAAAAAGGGTGAATGTCAGAACAAAGGCAGTAATTGAAGGCAGGCACTGTATCACTCTCACACAGTTTGAGAACAACTATTCTGTCTGTGCCTAACTAAGGATCATTTAAAAAAAACAAACTTCAAACAGGTTTTCTCAAATATGCGTACAGTGTGTGATTTCACCAACAATACCTTTATTGTTCATTGTGGAAGCATTTTTGACTCAGTAGCAGCTGCATGTTGGCTACATATGGAAAGTATGATGCAGCAGTACCCTGCGTAGTAATTACAGTTCTCTATGGCTGTTTTATGTTCACCTCAAAGGATGGTTTGTTCAGTAAAAAAAAAAAAAAAAAAAGCATGGCCAACTCAACGGTAAGCAAAGGACGTAAAGAAGAGTAAATGAATTCTGATAATATAGCTTTATTACACTGACAGAATTCAACTGACATTACATAGGAACATGTACCTTCAGGATTTTTTGTATAGACGAATTCACACACACACACACACACACACACACACACACACACACACACACACACACACACACACACACACACACACACACACACACACACAGAACAGACAATGTTAAAAACAAACAAAGCATCAGAAAATCACATGATCTAAGAGACAGCAGTCTTTGAGTTTTGTGAGGCGGCTCCAGTTTGTACAACATTCTATATCGTTTTCAAGATGATTTACCAGCAATGAAGCTAAACGAGCATCCACACAGACCCACAACGAATCCACACGTCTCTGTCTGTATTTACCTAACGGCAGTGGTTCATATACAAGTGGTTTTAATCATTGTTTGTGGCATGATTCACTCACCCCTGGTCACCCCAGCGAAGAAGAGGCTCATCATCAATACAAAAATATAGTACAGCAATTTTCTTGTCATAGCAAACATTCATAACTGTCCATTAATGGCCCAATCATATCAGCAGCCATTCAGATTTTTTTTTTAAACAACAACGTACAAGCAAAAAACAGAAATCTGCTACATATAGCAATGTTAAAATGGACACTGACCGCATGAGTGAAGTTTTAGCCCATTGGTGACAAATTACTCGAAGTGAGAGCTAACCAATTAAAAATCAAACTGCTGCATTTCTGACAATCTGGTTTTCTTTTTTCAGGAAACCATTTAATTCCATTAATTTCAGCACACTGTATAACTCAAACTTACTTAAGTTATATATTCCAGTATAATACAAAAAGAAGTCATTTCTCATTATATAATAGTCATCACAAATGTCACCACTTGGATTTAGGGACTTGAGTAAATTACAATGGCAAACTGATGCAGCAATAAGTTTTTATACATTTATGAATATGTTTCCCTGCCTACATCATATTACCTTGGCTAACTGGCACATTCAAACAAAACATTTAAAATAGTGTTAGCCCAGCCTCTGTCCAGGCTGTACCCTGCCTCTTGCTCTAGCTGGCAGAGAAGCTTTGAGGCAGGTACCAATGTTCAATGCTGCTGTTCATATATATATATATATATATATACAGAATGCTCAGAAATACAACCTAAAGATATAATACTGGGGCTGTTGTTGTTGTTGTGTATTCCACAAACACAACTTGCACAGAGACAAAACCCGACTATTTCTTGAGCTGCGATGCTACTCTGCTACATATCCTGCACAGTGTGGTGAGAGAACTGCATCTCCGAACCCATGCTCTCCAGAATAAACAGAAAGAAAAGGATGAAAATTTTCTACAATTCTTCAAGTATCTTGTTCTTGCATTACAGACTGTAAAAAAACAAAACAAAAAACCCCCAATTTATACTGGGTTCTACACAGCAATACCAATATGTTGGTAATAAGCTAATATTAGCTTATAACATCGGTCCAGCATCATATTGGTCTGACTCCAATTTGTATATTGTGCTGAAATGAATAGAAGTAAATGGAATGAAATATCAAACCCTATCACATGCTTCTCAGAAAGTCTAAATTGTACATCATTTGTAGTCAAGAGGCAACAGATTTTTTCAAATACACGGGTAGGGTTGTTAAACATCAAAACAGAGCGATCATAAAAGAATATACAGCGGTCAGTTACAGTCAGATAAAATGACAGTCCTGTTTTGAGGCCAGACAAACACAGGGACTCTTTGAAGTGCGATAACTTGAGATTCTTCAGAGCACAACAAAAATTTTAAAAGTTATTCAAGGGATCAAAATATGAGCTTTGATTGAATGAATTAAATGTGAGATAAAAAACCTTGTGGCTGCGAACCCGTTTTATCAGCTACACTGTACATAGTTTTTCTGTCAATAAAATGCAAGCCGTACGAAACAGATGCTCGACATACAGTAAGCAACAACAACAAAACTCCCTGGACTTGCACGGTTCTCATTTATTACTCTTACTTCCAAGAAAACATCAAAGTGAGCTGCATTTTTATTTATTTATTTTTTGATATATAAGTTTCAAGTTGGAAAAAAAAAGGCTTTTATTTCACCACCAGAAACATCTGGGGATTCCCCACAGGTGAAACACATTTCTGAAAGGGGAATTTTTACCCATCAGAAAGCTAGTGGTCCAAAGACAATTACACAAATAAAGCATCCAGTGATCTGCACACAGGCAGCAGAATTTGTACACATCCCACTGTACACTTACACACTGCCACTAACCTCCAGTATGCCTCAGTTTACACACCCGAGGCAGAAAACCCATCAGAGCACAGGCTAGATTGTCTCTCAGGTAACATGAAGTCATGTTTACGGTTTGTGGAGGTGTGACTTTTATATATAACATGACTACGTGGCCATTTGTCACTCATTCACATTACAGATGCAGTAAAGGTCTGAGCCACATCCACTCATTGAAGCACATGCCACCCACAGAGGAGTAGAAAGCTACCCTGGTTTGTGTGTGGGTGCATCAGTCACTGAGATGTGCTTCTGCGATGGCCGTTTTGTCTACCGGAAATCTCCAAGGAGGCATTGTAGTTGTCTTGTACACGATGGAGGACGTTTGACCTCTTGCTCCTCTGGGTCAATGAAAGGTCAGAAAAGATTGACAAAAGTTGAAAAGGTCAGCCCTAAAGTTCTTGGAGGCCACTGTCATTTGGTGACGCTTGAGAAGGTCAAAGGGCCACAATCAATGCACAGTGAGTGAAAGGTCTGTTTTCCCTCAGCATGCAGTGTCCAGTGTTTGGCAAATACATACAGTAGTTCTCAAACAGAGTCTTCATCACCTCACCTTTTCTTCCTTGCTTCATCCCTCCTTCCGAGTCTCATCCATCATCCGCTCCCTTTTCCCTTTTCAGGTGCAGCAGTCTTGGGCCACCTGACAGAAGAGTGGGGAGCGGGATGGCAGGGAAGTGGATGTTGAAGGCTCAGAGGAGGATGAGGAGGAGGAAACGGTGGAGGAGAGGAGGGAGGGGTAGGGGCTCATCTTGTCTATGTTGACGTACGTGGTGTTGAGCAGGACGTAGTGCTCGCCGCTGAAACTGGAGAAGATGGCAGAGATGCGGGAAACCAGCTCAGAGAATGAGGGCCGTCGTTCAGGCTTTGGGTGCCAACACTCGATCATGACCGTGTAGCTAAAAGCAGAGAAGAGAGACATTAAATCATGATGAAGGCAGGACATTACCATGTGGTTACACCTGTACACTGTACAGTGATTTGGCAAAATGTTTTAAATGTCAAAAGCTAGCATCTGAGATGTAGAGTGTAAAGACTTAAAAGCTGCTGTATTGATGTGGGTATATTATATGTAATTGCTCCTCTCTAAGAAGTCTTTGTTTATGTGGCTTCTGAAATAACTTGCACAGCAGTAGAGCCTGACTGATTCAGGATTTCTAGGGTGAAAAGAAATCTATGTATGTATGTTTGTTATATGTATAAGCTATGTGATGGACAAGACATCAAAACAGCCCACAGGACCTTTCTGATTGTTTTTATTTATACATATGTCTGTAAGAGGCCAAAATTCACTCATAATATCCGCCATGATATGATGTAATGGTTGGGCTCTACAAAAGAGGAAAATTAATTTACACTAATTGGAGACAAATGCTTACTTTACAAATTCTCTAAAGTTGTTTTATTTTTTTTTTTTGAAGAAGTGCCAATTTAGAAAACCAGTGTATGAGGGCAGCCCAAAAAAATTGCGCAAACACAAACACTTAGTGATTGTTCTGTACCGAGTCTGATTGCTGTTTATTTATGTCCATTAGCGACGAGGCATTTCTTTCTACAAACACAAGAGGTGAATTCTTGGTCACGGGAAACGTGAACTGTGTAGCCCCTGCTACAAAAAAAGCATTAGAAGGTGTTTGTAATGTTTGATATTTCTGTAATATAAATAGATATTATAAACACATCTTTTTGGGCGGACAAATCACGTGATCTGTTGTTATGTGGCCCAGCAAATAAGTGGTGGGCTCCCAGCAATCCTAGCAGTTTAGTCAGTTCTGGAGATCTTGAATGTGACTTTGGTTAAGTTATTGCATATTTTTTCTTGGTGTAATGACTTTATTTCTTATATTGTAGCTCTAAAATATCCATTTTTATTATTTTGCACCAAAGCAAAATAACCATAAAACCCCCCCAAAACAATTTAATGTTAAGACTTCAGGAACTAACACCTCCTTATTAACGAGTCTGCCATAATCTGGGACCCAAAACATCCTGTGAACACTCGTGGATGAAACATTGCACAAATATTTGCAGATGTGCATCATCTCCTGACGTCTGTTTAATTTATAGCTTGGGAAATTTGGGCCTCTGCCTCCTCACCTGAACACTCCCATTCCCCTCTAACGTCCACACACACTATGCACCTTATGATGTTATCTGGGATGTATGAGATCATTCTTGGCATTTGCTTCACAGGCCAGAGTTTAATGGATAAGAGCAAGTGTTAAGTGAGCTTCGCTGAAAATGACTGAGTTTAATAAAAAAAAAAAAAAAAAAGGATTTTCTTTTGTTATTTTAAGAGTTTCAGGTAAGTTTGCTTGAAACAGTCTAAACAGTCCTGGTTTGACAAGTGATTGGCAGCAGTTCCAATGTGAACTGTTCCAAAGAAAACTGGAAAAAGAGAAAAGGTTTTCTTAACACTTCCAGTAACTCTTTCACTAATGGGTCAGCACTTTACATACCACAGCAACAAGTGCTCAGCAATCAGAATCAAGAAGCCTTTAGAAAAGAAATGTTGTACTCGCACTGGTTTTCCATTTAAATTAACTTCTGCATACTGTATGTGCGCACACTCACAGGGCATCAGGGCAGAACTCGGGCTGCAGCAGCCTCCTCCCCTGCAGGAGGAACACCGTGATGTCGAAGGAGTTCACATCAGAATACGGCGGAGCTCCGCGGGTCATGAGTTCCCATAGCAATACGCCAAAAGACCACTACATGGAGAGAGTTTCATTGTTATCCCTTTAATGACATACTTGTTGTTCTGATGTAAACAGTTAAACACTGCTAAAAAGTCCTCACCACGTCTGATTTGGTGGTAAACTTGTGCGTCTGCAGACTCTCCAGAGCCATCCATTTAACGGGGAGCTTGACTCCACTCTTGTTGTGAACGCTGTAATACTCTTTGTCATAAACATCTCTGGCCAGGCCGAAGTCTGCCACCTTTACTGTGTAGCTCTCATCCAGCCTGTCGGGGAAAACAGGAAATGCCTTTTTTACTTCATTTTAACAATTAACTTATTACTATACTAATTATAGTATTATAGTACTATTTTCTTTGACTATTTTCTACTTGCCATTGTTATAAGGTACTTATTCTACTCTTTATTGCTCTCTTGATTCTGTCTCTTCCCACCTGTATTTACTTCTATTTTCTGCTGTGTTGTGCCTTTTTATATTTAAAACACCATCACTTGATGCTAAATGAGTAAATGCCAGCTCACATGCAGTTCCTGGCAGCCAGGTCTCGGTGGACAAACTTCTTGCTGGCCAGATACTCCATCCCTCTGGCCACCTGCAGCCCAAAGCCCATCAGGTCCTTAACTGTTGGGTTCTGGAAGAATCAATTACAGTCACCTTGTTGCACATCATCAAACTTGTGAAATGTGTCTTGAAATGAACTAAAGTTCTGGTGCAGAAATTTGCAACATGCTTATATGTGGGCCCTTACATGTCCCTCATCACGGATGAAGTTGCGCAGGTCGCCGTGTTTCATATACGGAAGAACCACCAGGGGTGAGCCCTCTGGTGGAAGGCAGATACCCAACAGGGAGAGAACGTTGGGGTGGCTGAAGTCCTTCATGATGATCCCCTCCTTCAGGAACTGAGACACCTCTTCCAAGTCTGTGATGCCTGATAAGAAAAAAATAAGTTGACATCATTTTCATGTTAGCTTAGTTAGTTTTTGACTTTTATCATGAAACATTTCTAAAATTCCCCCCGTAAAGTCAAAATAAAATACAGTTAAAGGGGACCTATTATGGTTTTCTTTTTTAAATTATGAATACAGCCGTTCATCCCCACCCATCTTATGATCAACCCTTCTGTTTTAACTGGGCAGCCAATGAGAAGAAAGTTGGCTTAAGGGGAGAGGAGCTAAAATAGCTTACTTCACACTAAAAACGTGAATTTAGTTGCTGCATCAAGGCCCAGAATAAAATAAAAAGATTAAGGGGCTGAATTGGCCCTCTTTAAATGTTTTCTTTGTTTATGAACATTTGACATTTGGAAACTGGCAGGAATGATAATTGTATGATAAGGTGCAACTCTCCTGTCATGATTTCAGTGGGAAGCCCTTCCTTAGATACCTTTGGGGAAAGAGAATGCTGATAGAAACCCATCTAAGAAAACACCCTCCCTGAAGATTCACCCCAGACTTGACCCATTCCCATTTGCCAATTGCATCCCTGCTTCTGGTGTCTTGCACTTTAGCCCTGCTGACTTTGCTATAATCTAGTTAGAAATGGAAGCTCTTTAGCCTTCAGCTGAGGTTAGACCCCAAAGGCAGAAAGAGAAGACATTTGATTTCAGTTTTGATTCTCAAGTTTTTCTGTGAGGAGAATGTCTCTATTACATAAACTACTCGTGCTTGTCATAGAACATATTTGCCATTCAACTAGATATCATAGTAACAGCTACATTAAGATAAAGGAATCAGTTTAAGCTACTGACTGCAACAAAATTGAATTGCACGTTCACTACAATTGTCCTACCACTGAAAATTATCCTACTACCTCTTATCCTACCATCCTACTGTGGTTTGTGTCCCCCAGCAGCTGCACAGGTCCTTTCCCCATATTGTTCCTGCATCAATCTCCCTTGCTGCAACTGACAGGTTACACGATTAGCCGGGACCCTAATGCTGTCCTCACTATCGAATGCTCATTCATCACCATCATTTCAAGCCTGAAAAGGATTCAGGCTTCTGATGAGATGAGATCTTTAATGCCATTGGGAGCACGGTGATATCATACAATAAGTATGCAATATAATATAACTAGATGAATGATTGAATAACTGTAGCTGGATGCAAATCCGTTTTGACAACAACAGTGTCTTTAGTCTGTGTGTGCCGGGTGAAGGAGGGGTCATGATGCATTTTAACCAGGGAAGCCTCAGTTTGCACACACCTGACTCTTATTTATTAATTACATTTACTTGGAGTGAGATTTTCAGAGTGAGACACATGGTTATGCTCCTTGGAGCACTCCAATGGCATTTGTTTACATACTGTACATATTTTCTGAATTAGGCTCTTGAGGCCTAAATATTGGGTTAAAAGTCACAAAAGTGGTTGTCTTTTTACCTGGATAAAGCACTGTGATAACTTTGAGCGAACCCATAAGCTGGTTGGGAGCAGGTTAAACTACTCTATCCAAACTCTGTGTCATATTGTCAGAGAGTGTATTAATTAGGTGATGCAGAAGATTGATCCGGAGTCCATCTGCTTCAAAATTTAACATTGTGCATTCAGAGGTGTTCTTCTTGGTTGTAACGAGTGGTTATTTGAGTTATTGTTGCCTCAGCTTGAAGCAATCTGGCCCTTCTTTTCTGACTTCTGACAACAAAATGACATTTTCCCCACCTCCCCATTGTTTCTTTTTTGGTTCATTCACTGAAAAGGTTGTGTAGTTGCTGATTACACATTTGCATTAATGAGCAGCAGAGGTATTCCTAATGAAGTGGTTTTGGTGTATATGTGTGTATTTGTATATAAGTTCATTGAAATGCAGGCACCTTATTCAAGCTTAAGGATAGCTGATAAAGAACAGTAACGGTGAGGTGAGAAACAGTAGCATTGGTTTAATCATTTAAAAAATGTGCAATTAAATATTTCACTTATCACTGTTGGAAAGAAAACACTATAGAAAGAAATAAAAAAACTGAAAGACCCTCCACCCGCCAAAAAACACCATCAAACACCGCTAAAACCAAAGCTAACACATTGATGAAAAAAAACCTGTACTTACGGTTCAGGGACTTGACGGCACAGTGTAGCTTCTGCCCGTCTGGCTCAAGCAGCGTTCCGTGAAAAACACAGCCGAAATGGCCTGCAGGTTACAACACGACGTACAGCATTAGTCAGTCATCATCGGGGAAATGAAAACCTCGTGTTTAAACCTGTAAAGGACTAACAAATTGCACTTCTTTACCCCACACAAATGACAGTGATAAATGGGATGCAACACTTTCAGGTCCAATGACAATAGGATCCAGCTGTGATGGAGGCCACACCATTAGTGGTAATAGATCTGTTACCACTGTGCCATAAAACAATGATTTAATCACAAACTTGGCTAGAAAACAGTTAAGAGTTTGTTAAGGTCATGCTTCTATAATGGGTTACTGGAACCCTTGAGGCCCAAGCTGACATAAAATTTGACGATCCTACTTTTCACCGTGACTCAGAAACATAACAAAAGCATGAAGGTGAAATTTGGCGGTCCATCAAAGCAAACTGAGACAAGCAGATTCCAATTGCTTGCGCGCGTGTCTGTGAATGTAATTTAGGTCAGATATTCTGCTTCATGGCTTGATGTACTCATAGATTCAGTCGGTAAACCGCAGTTTCTAAATCTTACCCATAAATGGACACCCCCCACCCCAACTAAATTAGCCACTTAGCATTCATCGATCAATGAATATCATGGTTTAAATAAGCCTTTGTCTCGAAAGAATGATTTTAGCCATGTGCGCCCTCTTAATCGGCCTCACAGCAGTACCAGGAATAACAAACATGTCTGTCCTCTGCATACATACAAAAATGAAATTTTGGTGCAACAGCATCGAGGTGATTTGATTGATCCATGGAGAAAAAAAAAAAAGAAGAAATAGCCTCTCTCGTGTGTTTCACACTCGAAACAGCAAATTCACCATCACACTAAACCTTAGACCTCCAAGTAACTCAGTATTCATTAGTACCCCGTATAAGCTCATAACCAGTGCCAAACCCACTTGAGTTATTATACATTTTATTGAATTATAACTCTGCTTTAAGACATGAAGGCCTGCCCCAGACGGGGAGGGGTGCAGGAATTAAATAAGCGCGGCGTGCTTCTATCACGTCCTTGCAGATGGCTGGTGTTGGATTACAACTCTCAACAATGGATCCTGGGAATACTAGCTGTGAACAAATCATCCTACGCCACTTTGAAAAACTCCAGCCACCAAATCCAGACTTCAGGGGATAATTCAGCCAAGGGGGCAGAGGGCTGTTGTGGGTGACACAGAGGGGTTTGGGTCTTTTTCTCCTCTTGAAACTGAATTTGATCTGCGACTGTGAGCCGCCTACTTAAATGTCACCATGTGAAGTGATTTTGTGTCTGCATGTCAGGGTTGCGGTTTGATAATGCAGGCAATTAAAACCTTTGTGGGTAACTTTAACTTTTGTATAGCTTAACATAAATCCTAAATATATTCTTGCGTTACAACAACCACAATCTTGAAAATTGCTCATAATTTTTTTTTTACAGTATTATTTCTCTATTTCAGAAAAACAGGTTTAAGTTACACATGTGTATAGAAATGTTGAGATTGGTGAATGCTAAATGGACTGTGATGTCTATACGCTGATGGAACATAAAGGTAAATAAACACATCTCAATAGAAGACAACCTTGAACCTTACTAAAAAAGTATACATAGATGCAATAGAGTGAATGTTTTATAACAGAGCTAATTGGAGAGTGGTGTAATGGTGCAGTGGTTAGCACTCTCACAGCAAAAGGCTTCTGTGTCTGGACCTAAAAGTAAAGTAAAGTAATGAAACGTAATGTAGAGCTGAGTATATATATAACATAATGGAACTTAGCTAAATGGAACATAGCCTATTGTAACGTACCGTGGCGTAATGTAATGTAGCATAAGGTAACATAGCGTAGCGTAATGGATGTAACATAACAAAATGTAAATCCAAAACTGTTCAGTTCTTGTTACGACTGACAAAAACAAGTCAATCTCCACAAACTTCCTGTTAAAAGAACCACATAATACAAATTTAGATTGTGTTACTTTGGCTGTGTTCATCTTGTATATATCTGGGTGTTAATTTGTGACCGACCACAAAGGCATAGCAAATGGATTGATTTTTATGCCTCGAGTCCAGATACTTTTTTATTTTCTCTATAAATGCAAACTGACACTGGACCAAGACTGCGAGATTATAAACACTGGCGCTGTTTTGAGGTCAATTTAATCACCCTTGTATTGTGTATATTATATATAGTGTGCACTATTTCATCAGAGTGCACAATTTAGGCATGCTGTACAACACTAACAACAGTTCATTTTGATTTCAGGTTAGTGCTTTTGGTGAGTACTTAATTATCACTGCATTTTTGAATGGTCACAATGATAATGCATGCTCATTTCCAGCTGCGGAAAACAGCTGAAATGAATCAATCTATCATTGTTTTTCCTTCCCTTGCATCAATGCAAGGAAAGGAACACATCCTTTATGTGTTCATTAAAAGATTTGACACAGCAGTTTGCACTAGATCTTCATACACAACAGTTTCTACACAATGAAATGTTTGCTTCTCACCTCTGCCGATGACCTGGTTGAGATGGAGAAGCAGCCGCTCCCTGGCGATCACCACGTGCTGCACTTCAGTCAGTAGGTCTGGGTGGAGGCAGGATGGGTCGATGTGGACCGGCGCCATTAGCAGGGGTGATACCAAATCGCCATCCATCCCCATTCCCATCCCCAGACCCATCCCTATCCCACCTCCTAAGGCACCCAGTCTGGGAGACAGCAGTTCCCCATTGCCCCCATAAATAGGAGGAGCTGCTCGGCATGTCTCGGGCCTGTCGGTGCCCTGATCTGGAGAAGCAAGGGACATGTTAGGGTCAGAGGTCAGTGACTGTATCAGCAGTGCCTCGAGATGTCAAATTGCAATATATGATCAGAGAAGGATGGCTATGAAGGCAGAAAGAAACTTAACACTGTAATTGAGGTCGACAGAGGAGGAAAAACAAAGGTTTTCTTCGATGATTATAGTAGAAGGAAAATTAATTCTAAACTACCCACATTTTATTTAAAAGCCAGAACAAAAAACAGCCAAACGGAGTGGACACAGCTGTTAAGCTCAGCTACTGATCCTACAACCAAACCTCCTACAACCTGTCCCTGCGGGCAAGCTTTAGTTCATTAGTAAGTCTATCTTCTTAGATTTTAAGCCTTTCAAGTCACATTTTAGCAGCTGGAAAATAACTTTGACCATGACACTAAATATCATGATACAAGCCTCTCACAGCCTGAGGATGCAAACTGAGAGAACAAAAAACACAGTTTTAGAACCACAGTTTTGCCTGGTGGTCAACAACTCTACAATCATCCACCAATTGTGTTGGCTGTGTGTTAGAAACAGGCCATGGTGACAGATTAAGAAAATGATAATTGCTTAAAATTAATGTGTTTGGAATGGTAATCTGTATCATGATAATACTTTTAAATTATTTGATTTTTATAGATAATAACTAATCAAATCAAATGCATTATCAAAGAATCAATCACAAACCAACAGAGAGATGACATAGCTCTTTAGAGCTCTTTAGTCTTTTTATTTCGGGAGATTTGACACAAATGGTTAATTACCTGTCTGTTTCTAGTGCTACAAAGGAAGCGTTTCTGCGGAGCAATAAAATGCTTCCTTGAAATGGACAAAAGTGCTTAATTCATCAAGGCAAGGGTTGTTAATTCACAGCATGTACAGTAAGGCATGCATGGCTAGCATTAGCGTTTAGCCCCACGGTGAGGGAAGCAGAGTAGATAGGAGGGAGAAAGGTGGAGTAGGAGAAGAGGTTGACAGGTGGGGAGGGGCTTATCTGGTTGACGTACCCTCCAGCAGGGTTGTTCTATAGTCGACTGACTCGTGGGAGACCATTTCGTTAGTGGGGCTGACACTCCTCGCGTTAGCCAACCTGTCCAGATGCTGGATGTGACCCCGGCCATCATACCACACCTCAGACAGATCTAGAGACAAAGGGCAACGGGATGTAGAAAATGTAATGGAAAATTCAGTGGAATGGAAGGACGAGGAAGGACAGAAGAAGAGTAAAGATGGGTGTGTGGGGGTGGGTGGACAGGAGGGAGGTAGAGACGAATTACTGAGAAAGGCGAAGCATTTCCACCAGTGCGCCCCTCAGACAAACTTTTAAACGTCAAACCGACCAGGCAAAATGAAACCCAGCAGACACACATGCACACAGGTTAGAAGAAACACAGTGAAGTTCATTTGCAATTATGAATGTATTATATATGCAAATTATTAACACTTTTCTTAAATCATTGGTGAGCTGCTGCAATCTAATCAAACATTTTCAAGGAAAATGGCATTCTGGTCATTTACGGTAATAAACTGTCCGGATTTGTGAGTACATGTCATAATTAAAATAACATTTTGGAGCAGATAACCTTAAAAATAATGGTGTTATACCATTTCCAGGGATATCAAATGGCTCTAAGCCTCAAAACCCAGAGTGTCGTGGGCTCTGTGACCCTCTTTGGTCTTACCATCAATGTGTTTGTTCTTCTTCCACATCAGCAGCGATCCCAGCAGCAGCAACAGCAGGCTGACGCACACGCAGCCCACAACGAGGCCCGTGTAGTCCTGCTCCTGTGCCAGCGTCACCTTGCCAAGATGTCTGATGGAGTCTGCCTGACGCCACTGAAAATGGTTCATGGGATAAACAATATGATCAAACTGTCACTCACTAGAGGCCCCACTTTGTGCACTTTGTTTACTTTAAACAGTTTACACTTAATTAATTTAAAACTTTCTAATAAATATTACTTTCAGTATGACAATTAAAGTAGACATTTTTCCTCAAACAGTTACATGCTGGAAGAATGATGTAGCAGCGTTGGTGAGCAGCAGTGTTACCACTGTAAGTGTAATCGAGTTCCTGACATATCAAATTGGAGACAGGGCTCATTATGCATAGTTTTTGTATGAATACAGCCTTTCTCACCATGTCTCAAGTTATCTTCCTGAAATAGCCTTGCAGCCCTTGCTCTATTGACAAATAGTTTTGCATTTATGTCATCATAAGAAGCAGGCATGTGTTTTCTCTTGTGTTGGCTCTGCTCTTTACTCTTTTGGGGTTTATTAACACACCTGACCATGAGGTTGACGAGCATTTTAAACGATAATTAAGTACCACTGGGTTGACTGATTTCCTGTACACGTTTTCACAGTTCTAGCAATTGCTTGAGGTAGCACCTCATTGTTCTGTGTTTCTACGACAAAGTGGGACCATTTAGGTCTTCGAAGGATGCTTTTACTGTATTTCTTAGTTTAAAAGAAACTTTAAATGACCTGGGAGTGCTGTGATTACTTGAGCTGTAAGTGATACACTTCTTCAGAGTAACAACCTAACAAAAGATGAAAAAACTCATGACCTCTGCAGCCCAACACTGCTGGTGTGTGTGGACTGGAAACCACTGAAGGATCTGCTTCTAAATGTTAAATATGATCCCTCATCTTAAGCTTATTACAAATTAACTTTCCTACAGCTGCATAGGGTCATTTTTCTAATACTTATAGACTGCACTATGGTGTCTGTAGGAAGAAGCTTGAATAATAATGACTATCATAGCAGACATGATACATATGCTATGTCATGCATGCATATATGGCCATGCATGCCACAAAAGCTTTTAAAAACGTGAAGCTGGCACTCAGACACACACACACACACACACACACACACACACACACACACACACACAC